ATTTGTTTTTGGGTTGTTATTTTTTGTTTTTACTCTATTTTATTCAATATTCTTTTTTTGGTTTCAATTTTTTTTTTCTAGTATTCGTTTTTTCCATGAAGAGATGTTCATCAAAATCTATTAACATGAGATCTAACTGTAAACATCTCAACATTAGAAATCTGACGGTAAAATGATTCGGGGTTTAAACACACAGTTCAAGAGATAAGATATTTTAAACAAACAAATTTACGAAGAAAACGAAAACTCCTTGGTTGTGACAGGTGGCACCACTTGTGAGCGTCTGAGAAGGTGGGAGACAACTTTTGCAAAGGACAACCCTTAACTATTAATTAGTGATTTCGCGCACCCCTTGAGTGCTCTATATATGGCTTATAACGACATGTTAGCTCCTCTCGCATGAAGCTTCCCTGCAGCGTGCACGCGTGTGGGCCGACTCAATAGCATGCTATCCATTTCTTCGTCGGTGGTCAGTTCGCTAATGTGCTAGTTTGGGTGTTTCGATTTTAGTGTTTTTGTTTTTATTTTATTTTTTGTTTGGTTTTCTTACTTCTTCATTGGTTTTCTTTCATTTTCCTTTTTCGTCATTGTACTTCATTTTTTGTTATTTCTTCATTTTTTGGTTTCTTTCATATTTTTTGTTGTGTTTTCTCTTATTTCTCATTTTCTTCATTTTTTTCGTTTCTTTCTTGGTTTTCTTTATTTCTTTCTCGGTTTTCATTGTTTTCAATTTTTTTGCACCTGTTTCTTTGGTTTCCTTTTCCCTTTTTTTATTTTTCTGATTTTTTACATTTTTTATTACATACGTAATTTTTTAATTTACCTTTAGCATTTGGAAATTCATTGTTAATATTTTTTCGAATAAATGTTTGGATGTCTATTGTTTCATAGACATTGTACATTTTTGGTATACATCTATGACTTATTTAATACATGGTTAACATTTTTTTGTGCATATGGTTAACATTTTTTGAATATATGTTTTGATGTCTACTTTTTACACATCATACATTTTCGTTATGCATTTGATACATTTTTTACATGCTTATACTTTATGTATGCATGTTTAACATTTTTCCGAATACATGAGTAACATTTTTAAACACATAGTTTTTTCATATACATTGTACATGTTTTGTATACATCAAAAATATTTTTGTACACATTTAATATTTTACAAGTACATGAATAAAATTTTTGAAACTTTTTTTTATGTTAGTTTTTTTCCATACACATGGTATATTTTTTTGTATACATCATAAACATTTTTTGTATACGCATTTAACATTCCCAGGCACCGGCCAGGGCGTGCCGTGCCTGGCCCGGCTGTGCCGGCGTGGTCGCGGGCTGGCCTGGTCGGCCCGGCCCGTTTGACCAGCTTTGCCACTGGGGGCTCAGCCGATACCGAGTCTCAACGTCACACGAACTCGGTTCCTTCTTTCCTGTACCAGTATTTTTTTTCGTGTTTCTGCGCCCCCCACAGACTCCACACGCTTTCCCCCAAATCGCCGCCGCCATGGAGAAGGAGAAGAAGCTGTCCTTCTCCATCCCTTCCAAGCTCAGGCCGCCCAAGCCGCCCCGCCCCGCCGCCGGCGCTGATTCCTCCGCCGCCAGCGGCAACTCCGCTTCCGCGGCCGCTGCCCCCGCCCAGCAATTCGTCACCGAGTTCGATCCGTCGCAAACCCTAGCCGCCGGCGCCGCGTCCGCCGTCATCGCGCCCCTCCCCAACTCCGGCCACTTCCTCAACCACCGCTCCCGCAAACCCTCCTCCCTCCCGACCCCCGAGGAGGAGGCCGCCCTTGCGGCCTCCACCGCCGGTGGCCCCACATTCGTGCTCGACACCTCCGAGGCCCCCGACAACCCCTCCTCCCACATAGGGTATGGCCTCACCCGACGCGGCGCCGACGCCGACGCCGAGGCTGACGCCACGGAGCCGGGTAAGACGCAGTCTTCCAAGGAATCAGAGAAGAAGCCGACCTCTCCAGCCAGAGATGGCGGCTCCAGCGGTGACCTTATGCTGCGACGGTACAAGGAGGACATGGCCAGCCTCCCTGACCACCGTGGTATAGATGAGTTTGAGGAGGTGCCTGTGGAGGGCTTCGGTGCTGCCCTCCTTGCTGGTTACGGCTGGTCGGAAGGCAAAGGGCTCGGCCGCAATAACAAGGAAGATACCAAGGTTGTTGAGTATAACCGCCGTGCCGGTACGCTGGGATTAGGTTACGACCCTTCTGAGGCAGACCCTAAGAAGACTCGCTCCGGCGACTGGGTTATTGGTGGAAAGAAGCCGACAGAGAATGGTGGAAAGAAGTCCGCAGAGAATGGAAATGCAAAGAAGAGAGATATGGACAAGGAAGACAGAGTCCGGGAGAGGGATTCAAGTTCCCGACAGAAGAGATCTGGTGATCTTAGGGCCGAGAGGGAGGTTCGAGAGAAAGAGAGAAAATCTCGGGATAGTCGAGAAGAAAAGAGTAGCCGCGATGTTGGTAACAAAGTGCGCTGGTTACAGAGCAATATTAGGGTTAGAGTGGTTAATGAGAGGTTCAGCAGAAGGTTGTACCTGCAGAAGGCAAAAATTGTCGATGTGGTTGGACCAACGACATGTGACATAATGATGGATGACGGGTCAGAGCTTGTGCAGGGGGTGGAGCAGGATATGCTTGAAACAGTCCTGCCACGGACAAACGGCCAAGTGCTTGTGCTCTGTGGGAAGCACAAGGGGGTGTATGGGCATCTGGTAGAGAAGAATTCAGAGGCAGAGACTGCAGTAGTGGAGGATGCGGATACAAAAGACATGGTGCGTGTGAAATATGATCAGATTGCAGAGTACGTTGGGGACCCAGAATTGCTTGGGCATTGATTATTTCTTCTTGAGGAGGGGACATCTGTTTTCCAGGAGCTCTTCTAATGTGCGGTAATATCTGTTCCTTAGTAATAACTATCAGTCGCTGCTTGGATGTAAAATCTTGAACACAATGTTAATTGTGTTATTACTATTATTTGTTGCTTGGATGTGTAAAACCTTCAGCAAACTGTCAGTTTTTGCTTTGTATAATCTGTTTGTTTAAGTCTGCTGCATATGGGTCAAAACCTCATGCTAATCGATGATGTCAGAAGGTGATTCTTGTATCTAAGAGTGATTTTCGGAATGCATGCTAAAAATCTCATGAACTTCTTGGCGTCTTGGTGATGGGGTGATCAATAGTTACTATACCGGGACCCTGCCCTTAAACTGCAGATGCTCCGCGCGGGGTTGATTTTGTTTTGGAGTTCTCCTGCTATCCACCATAAGAGATGAAAGTTTTGCTGAAAACATCTAAAGAAAATCTGAACTACAAATCTCTAAGTTGAAGATAAAAAATTAAAAAGTACTACCTCTGTTCCTAAATATAAGATTGAACTGCCAAAACGTCTTATGTTTATGAAGCATCAAACCACAGGATTAAAAGAAAGGTCAACTAACCTGTTGCCAGGGCTCAAACTGTGCTATTGAAGATCTGTCCCTCCGTTCTTTCAAG